CAATGCCATGACAGTTCTGCTCATGTCAGCGGGGGGTTTCTGCAGATGCCAGCCTGCAAGTGGGCAAAATCACACGCTTTCTCCATTGCGGCTCCCGCCTTATGGAATGGGTTGCCCGAGGAGGTCAGAAAAGCCCCGACTCTTCTGGTCTTCTGCAAACTATGCAGAACTGAACTATCCAAGAGGACCTTTCTGTGCAGGGTTGCGGTGGCTCAAGTGGTTAAGACGCTGAACTGCAGGCTGTGGAAGGTCAGTAGTTCAGCAGTTCGAGACCCGGGTGCCGCATGATGGAGTGAGCTCCCATCTCTAGTTCCAGCTCCTGCCAACCTAGCAGTTCGAAAGCAAGAAATTGCAAGTAGATAAATAGGTATCACTTCGGTGGGAAGGTAACAGTGTTCCGTGCACCTTGGTGTTTAGTCATGCCGGCCACATGACCACGGAAACATCTTCAGACAGCGCTGGCTCTTCGGCTTTGAAACGGAGATGAGCACCGCAACCCTAGAGTCGGATTCGACTGGCTTTCGAGCAAGGGAACCTTTACCTTTACCTTAATAAGGCTGCACCATACAAAATGGTTTACAAAATAACTTGAATAAATCATTGGGACTTGTGGTCTATAGTGCTGTGTATATCTTATTGTAAGTAGGATCCTATTATGTAATTTCTGTACAGTTCGATGTGGCATGTTAATACTAATGTTATGCTTCTGTTTCATTCGGGAGGTTCCAGACTTCAAATATCCTAATGCATTGGTTTACCGAATGTCCCATTTTGTTGACTGTACTCACTCACTATGTGTAATCTACCTTGAGTCCCAGTGAGAAAGGTGGACTATAAACTACATAAATAAAAGGAAATAAACAAATAACCTTAATGATAATGCATCCTAATACAAAATAGTCAGCTTCATAAACCTTTCAGGGTCTTAGCATGCACAAATAGGAGTGCAATACACACATGGGAAAAGCTGTTGCAAGAATCTTTGGGAAAAGCAAGGAATCTACAAGAATATTGTTAAAAGTGGAGTTTTGGAGTCTCAAATTTATTTCTTTACTACTAGGCATCAGTATTAAATGGATAGATGAGACCAGATATTTTAAGTTACTGCCATACCATGGAGCTGAAATGGTCAATAATAATACTATCTAATACTGCTCTTACAACTATCGCCTTGAGCAGAAAAATGAGAGGTGTCCAATGGATAAAGGAGAATGAACAACAGAGAAAACAACAGCCTCAAAGTACAGGATAAACAGAAAATATATTAGTCTGTCCACCTCACCACTAGCATCATATGTAATAAACCAGAAAAATTCGTCTAGCTAGGAGCAGTATGAAGTGGTATGGAATATAAACTAATAACCACTATCTGAATGAATGACAAACAAGTGTCCCTTATCTCCAGCTGTGTGTGTATTTCTTACCAAAGAGTTTTTGTAATACTTGGCCATCGTACAGGTCCTCAGCCAAATCTTTCACAATGATGCGTTCTCCTACCAATACATCATTAATCCAGTCAATTAACACCTGTGCAAGAGACAAAGAATTAGTAATACTGCACATGTACATAAACACATAGGCTATTGGAAACAATGGTAAATACTCAGAAAGCAGATAATCAAAGAAGCAATGAATAAAAAGCTGTAGATACAAAATCAGAATAAATATTAGAGGAAACATACAAACTATAGAGATTAACATGTAAGAATTAGGCCTTGTGTGCATACTACATAAAGAGAAAATCAGTTTTACCTTAAGGCATGCTATTCATCCCCACATTATACTAGAAGTATGTTGCAATTATTCTCTTGTTTACTTAATGAATGCAACTCGCTAATGCTTTAAGAAAGGTTTGCAGCTACCTAGAAGGAGACATACCAGTTACCTGCAGAGATGAAGAACTAAAATGTAATAACAGTAATCCAGAGCACTGCTAAAAGCACTTAACTCTCACTGCACTCAGCAGGCCTTAAGCACAATTAATTGTGAGCTAAATCAAAGGCTTGATTGATACTATATAGAAGTGCTTTGAAATGTCCACTATATATTGACCACAGTGAACAGTAACATTTTGAAGGACACACTTGTCTACAAACATACTGGAAATGGTCTATAAACTATGTAAATAAAATGAAATAAATAAATAACCTTAATGATAATGCATCATAATACAAAATAGTCAGCTTCATAAACCTTTCAGGGTCTTAGCATGCGCAAATAGGAGTGCAATACAAACATGGGAAAAACTGCTGCAAGAATCTTTGGGGAAAGCACTACCTCAGACATACTGGAAATGGTCCCAGGATGCTGATTTGTCCAGTTGTGTGGGGTACCTCTCAAGCTTTTTGGAAGTTTTCCAAAAACTTGGAAAAACAATTTTTGAAAGTTTGAGACCAACCACATGCTTGTGCAACTCCTAAAGATACCTACTCTGGACTCAGGAGAGTTGACTAATTACCGCCAGTTTCAAAGGTACCATTCTGGAACAAAGTGGTGAATAACTTCAAGGATTTCTGAATAAAGCAGATGATTGGATCCACTTCAGTTTCAGGCATGGTTATGGGACTGACATAGCCTTGGTCACCCTGGCGGACGACCTGCACTGGGAGATGCAACCCTGTTAATTCTCCTAGACCTGCTGTTGGCTTTTGATACCATCCATCATGGTATCCTTCTAGACCATCTTATGTGCATTGGGAGAGATCGAATCCCAGGAACACGTGTTCCTGAGATGCCCGTTATTTGAAGAGGCTCGTGCTAAACTTATTGATCCCCTTCTGGCAGGCACTTCGGATCAGGACAAGATGGAGAACTTGTTTCTTAACCTTGAACATACAGCCCTCCATCAGATTGCGAATTTTTGTTCCTTGGTGGTAGAAGTGCATCAGCAGGATGGTTGTCACTAGGGTCAGGACTGTTTGATTTTAACTGGTACCGTTCCTTTTGGTACTATATTTTATTCTTTTATACTATACTGTGCTTTATGGCAGCGTATTTACAGTTTGGTCTTTTTACCTTGTTGAATTTTGGAAATTTTACTATCTGGCCATTGTAATTTATTTATTCTGGTTTTATATTGCTGGCTAATCGCTGTTACAATAAATTCATTCATTCATTCATTCATCTTTCAGGGTTGGGACTGGAAGTGCTGTTTTGCGGTTGTTTCAGTTCAGCCTTGAAGGCACGTCTCAGAGTGCAGTGCTGAGGGAATGCTGCTCAGGCCCTTGGCCACTTGGGTCCCACAAGGTTACATCCTTTCTCCTTGCTTTTTAACATCTATGCGAAGCCACTGAGAGAGGTCATTTGGAGATTTTGGCTGAGTTGCCACCAAAATGCAGACAACACTCAGCTCTTATTTTGCACTTCCAGCAGACCCCAAGGAGGCTATGGAAACCATTAGTGTCTGGAGGCAGTTTTGAGCTGGACGAGGGCTAATGGGCTAAAATGGAGATAGTACTTGTGGGAGGAAGGTCAGACACCAGAACTGGGATATCTCCTGCATGGGATGGGGTTGCATTTCAGGTTTGTAGCTCGGGGTGCCACTGGTCCTAAGCAGACAGCAGCGGTGCCCAGGGGAATCTTTCACCATCTTTGACTGGTGAGGCAGCTGCGGTTGTTCCTGGGCAGGAAAGATTTTGCCAATATAGTGCATAATCTGGTAACATCTGGACTAGACTTCTGCAACGCACTCTGTGAGGGGCTGCTCCTGAAAACTGTCCATAAGCTACAGTTGGTACAGGATGCTGTGGTCAGAACACTGGCTGGAGTGGGTGATTTTTGATGTCTGAAATGATTTATTGTTTTAATGTTTACCACCTTGAGGACAGTCAATTGAGCAGAAAAGCAGCATAGAAATGTTTTAAATAATAAATAAATACAGTGGTCCTTCTGGGGATTAGGCTTGATCTAATTTTAATCATATGGCTGGCAGAAAAATTAAGTTACGCAAAACCACCGATTTTGCCTTGTATTTCAAAGATGCTAACAGTAGATTGAGACAAAACTGATAACCACTCATAAACCCCATAGGAATATTATGTCAGCATGCAAAGCTTTCTCCCCACCAATACTGACCATGGTGAATTGTTACAGCTGTTATGTCTACAACTTGATTAGTTATGATTTAGTAGATGACTATCTCATATAGGTAGCTATAGCAAAAAAGAAATTGCCACAACACAAACACTGAAGTGTCCATTAACCATGTGAGGAAGCAGAACAAGTAAGATACATCCCCCCCCCCAAAAAAATATTGAAGAATACAGCTGGGAACGAAGATGAGTGGGAAAGTAGGCAAGGCTTACTCAACACTAAAGCTGTGATCTTCAAATCAATTTCTCCCATGAGCCAATGATCCATAAGTCAAAAGGTTTCCAAAGATATATGCATTGGGGGGGGGGTGACCTTTGAGGGGTTTGCGAAGGTCCACTGGCTTTCTATTGCTTACTCCTGGTCCCTAAAATTCAAACCTGAAGTCGCAAAATGAAAACCTGCACTTATTACATTTTGTTACAAAAGAGTCTGAATGTCCTTTCATAATTACCTTCATCAGCTCCTGAAGTTTTGGATCGTTCCTTGAATTGGGATCGATCATTGTTCGAACTTCATTTTCCTCTTTAGAAAACATTAGAAGAAAACAAAAGAAATAACATGTTACGAAAACGCAGCTGGTGTTCGATTCTACTTCAGCAATTTAGATTGAGGCGAAAACAAATTATTTCAGGTTACCTAGCATAGTATCTTCAGGATCTAGTTCAAAGGGAATTGGGCTGAGTGGTAGGTTAATGGCATTTATTCCTTCTTCTTGTAACTCAGACACTAGGAGGAGGAAAAAAAGGAAAGTTTAGTGAAATGATGTCTTCAGTTAGCAGTAAGGATGTGACAAAGTTTTATGTCCGCATAAATCTCAGCTGCAAAATAATACAATCAATTGAATGAATTAATTAATTTTATTGTTACAGCGCATAGCCAGCAATATAAACCATAAAAGTGAATTATACAATCAATTGTATAATGCAACACTGGATCTCCTTGGTAAGAACAGCCATTGGGTCTTGCGGTTATCTATCTGCAAGCTGACAAAGATCCCTTAACAATTTTGTTGTGATGTTCACCACTGGCAAAAAAACACCCCAGGTAATTTCTGCTGGGTCTACTGTCCCAGTCTGTGAACTCTTCAAGTCTGGTAAACCGAGGAGCTCCTGGTTTCGCTCTTTCTTTCCATCTTTGAAACACAAATTCAAAACGAAAGATGGCCCATGAAACATACCTACAAACCCCTTTCCTCCGCCAGCGCAATGTCGGACAGTGCAATCTATTACAGCAAGGGTCCTCAATTTTTTTGAGCCTTTCAAAATTCAGCAGCCCCCCTATATCAGCTCCAGCATTCTCTCATTTTCTCCCTTGCCACTAGCTCACTTCCTTCTACACTAGCTTGGGAGCCAGTTTGTCTCTCCACAACCCTCCTCTCCCAGTTTCTGGTATATCGCCAACCTCTCAGGTTTACCTTCCCGTCTAGTAATTATTTATTTATTTATTTAAACTATTTTTATGCCACCTCTCCATCCAAATCAGGATCCGCAAAGTGACGAACATAAAAACACATCGAGGTTGGACTTCCTGGTTGCAGTGCGGCGAGAAGGATGGTGCTTGGGAGAGCTCCCAGCTACTGCCAGCTTCTTGTCTCCTCTAGAGGAGTTTTGGGGACTCCCAAACTCCGCTACACTCCTCGGAGGGGAGTGTAGGGCAAGGGACTTGATCCGAGCCCCTCATTCGCGGCAGCAGGTGAAGGGAAGCCTCTGGATCGTCCCCAGCAAGGAACAATGACGACCGCCCATGGTCAGCCATGAGCAGATAGCTGTCGCTACCAGACAAGAGGGACTTAAATCCGTGCCTCATCCACAACACCAATGAAGTTTTCTTTCTTTTCTGTGAGTACCTGTTAAAGCAACATAACCAGAAAATCTTCTACACAATGTCAGCCCCTTTGAAATTTAAAGACTCAAAGGGGAGGGTGATGTCTTTCTCTCCCCCCCATCTTTACCGTGGCTATCAAAAGCTCTTAAAAGCAACTCTACAAACAATCCCGGGGCAAAGAAAACAAGAGGACTTTGTCTAAAGTTGGAAATTAACAGCTACAATCTTCTTTTGCAATCCCAACACTACTAGAAAATCTATTATATAACGTCTGTCCCTTTAAGTTTTGGAAAGACTGGCAGTTGCATCAGCTTCTTCCCCCCCCCTCCATTTCTACTGTGACTGTGAAGAATTTAAAAGCAACCTTCTTTTGTAATCTGAACTTGTTATAACAACTCCATGAGAAAATCCATCATATAACGCTAGTCCTCTCAAAGTTTAAAAAGATTGGCAGTAGCATCAGTTTCTCCCCCCCCCTATTTTCATCACGTTATTGAAAAGAACTTAAAGCAACTTTATCAACATTACATCCCAGCGAAGAAAATAAGAAAGGACTTTGTGTAAAATGGTACTTAAGAGTTAAAATTTCAGGACTATTCATAATCCAATAGATGATTTATAATTTCTATGGACCATTTTGAATTTTGCATGTATTCAGTTCCCATAACAAAATTTGCTTATCTTTGTTGAACTTTATAACTCCATTTTGTTCTGACCACATTTTTTTATTATGTAAATAACTGACTGGCTCTCCAGTTTATCTTAGCACTGTTTAGATAATAACAGAAGCTGTTATATGGTTTGCTAGAAAGAACATCTCTGTACAACTCAGTTTAGGGTAATGCTTTTAGAGTGTTAGTATGTCTTTAGAAAAAATGTACTAGAAGAATAATGTGCAGAATGCTTTAAAGATTGTACCTCCAGATTCACTAGAATCCATGGATACCAAACTCATTCAGGCTTCCTGGGAAGACCCGCTGACTATGATTCAAACTACATTGATTGTTACTATTACAAAGGGAATTGAAGAAGCCTTTTTTATCTTTGCAAACTGAAATGCAACCATTATTGCAACAGGCCTCGGCTAAGGGGGAACCAGCCCAGGTAGTATGCCAAGACCAGAATAACGGATATGATCATCCAGAAGATAGTCAGGAAACCTTTATGCAAGTGGACTGGACCTATAAAAAAGATCTCATACCCTATAGGAGAAACACATCTTTTTCAAAGATGCACCAGAGATTTCTTAAAATGATCATGACTGCTGAATCTACAAAAAAAAATGCCCTACTCAACACTTCAGAAAGACCAAAGAAACCTACGTATGGAACTGCAAAGCATAGTGCATACATGGTTCCTACTAGAATAAAACTGCTACACCCACAAAGGGAAAAAACATAGAATTAAGACATTAAAACTTGAGAGCAAAAATCAGAAAATCAAGAAGAGACTTATTAAAATATTATAAATAACGTTTGAGGGGATCCCTGAGATTTTAAGTTTCCTTTATATGATCACTGAGAATTATAGAGGGACCACTACATATGCTTGATAGATTAAGAGTTGTATATTTCTCTATGTAGAAAGAAACTGTTTAATGGAACTTTTGAGAGTTTAAGCTCCTTTTATATAAATACTGAGAATTACTGAGAGACACATCGATATGTTTGATGGAATAGGATCCCAGTATCTCTTTATCCAGATTAAATAATCCCCCATGTTAGTAAACAGCTTAAGAAACTTAACAATATATTCATAAATGTTTAAAATTGTTTCAGGGAATTCTTGAGACCTTAAGTTTCCTCTTCATAATCACTGAGAATTTTAGAGGAATCCCTAAATATGTTTGTTGGCTTAAGAACTTTATCTCTCTCTTTTTAGAAAGAAAATGTCTGAGGAGACTTCTGAGACTTTAAGCTTTTTTATATAACCACTGAGAATCACTGAAGGATTTATAGGTGTGTCTGACGGAATGAGACTCCAGTATTTCTTTATTCAGAACAATTAATTGTCCACACTACCAAATAGTATAAGAAATTCAATAATACACTTAGAGAAAGCCCAATTTTAGTAGAAAAGAAGAAATTGTATGTTTGCTGACCTGCAAAATATATTTTATCGCATATATTGGAAAAATGAAATAGACTTGGTTCATGTATGAGGCATGATAACAGACAAGGCATTGGTATTGTATTGAATCCCCATTTTATGTTTGTTTGGAAAAATAAAAAAGTTCTATAAAAAATCAAGGTTCCCCAAGGTTTACAATTTTACATTTTTAAAAAAATTAGGTGAAATGTGGATTTTACAATTATGTGTCCATAGCACAGATCATATCCAGACCATACATCAGGTGCCATGTCCAATAACTGCTGTTCTACTTGGACGTAGCATGTTCCATGCCCATTGTGTCTAAACAGTGATAGTAGTTCACAACTGCTGTGACTAATGTTTCTTTTAAAGAATTACTAGATATCTGGATGCAGCCTACACAGAGTACTGGGACAGGGACCTTGCATGTTTCAGTGCTAATCTAGCTGCTTTGTAATGTAGTTATTTACTTGAATTTCTATTCTATGTGGACTACATGGTATATTAAAAGCTACCATAAGAAAAGAGGAAACAGCCTTATATGAAAGGGTAACATTCTCCCTAATTCATCACATAATTAAATTAGTCATACAATAATGAATCAATTATATTTGATGATGCTGACTCAAAGGCAGAAAAACACAAAATTTTATACACGTATGCTTGATAGAACAGTTATTTTTAGCTGGATAAAGACTTTAATGAGATGATCCAGGAATACAAGGTTACAAATCTGCACTGTGGAATCTAACAAATGGGCCACATACAGTACTTTAAAAATGATACGTACAACTACTCCTAAGTCATTAGAAACTTGAAGATTCAATCTACAGGCACAATATGACTGCCTATAACATTTGTATTGGCTTAATTCCTTTAATATGTACAAACCAGAGCTTCATGCTATGATTTCTAGATTTTGTCCATTTCTCTTCATATGTATTTCCCTAAAGCAGTGTTTCCAAACTTTGGAGGAACCAAAACTAGTCATTTTCTACATAAGTAGTTATCAAACTTCTAAGCTTTTCACATCTGTTCAAAAACCTCTGTAGGTCTGGTCATGGAATCCTTGTATGTTTCAGAAGATCTGAGGCCAATGGGAAGGTAACAGTGTTCCGTGCACCTTGGCGTTTCATCATGCTGGCCAGATGACCATGGAAATGTCTTTGGACAGCACTTGCTCTTCAGCTTGGAAACGGAGATGAGCACCGCCCCGTAGAGTCAGATTCAACTAGCTTTTGAGCAAGGGAAACCTTTACCTTTTATAGATTCCATAGCATACATTCACTTCCCATGGTGTACTAGTGAGACCTACTTGGTTTGTTAAGCCCAGGATACCCTAGCTTTATGACACTCTAGAATATGGGGGAAAGCCATGCAAAGACACCTCCCACCTCACTTTCAGATCTATGTAAGAGGTGCCCAAAGGCCAGAGGGAGAAGAAGCCTTGATCAGATTCAGAGTCTGACGAAGGAATAAAATGTGAAGTAAAATAGACAAAATACAAAGTAAAATTTTCAGGAACCTTTTGCAAGAAGGTTCATCCTAAAGACAAGCATCCTACCTAGCTAAGTTGATTTCAGATTCTGGCCACATAAAGAATGGTCAGTGTTCGTAACAGAAAAAGCCAAACATTACAGAAGTTTTCAAAGGTTTAGGACAATGCCTATCACAAAATCAAGTCTTCTTCCTGAGTTTATCATAATAGTTAAACTCATCTCCTGTGCCTGAGCCTCAACACATCTGTAAGCAAAAATTCAGTTACTATGTTTGAGTTAATCATAATATCAGGACAATTTCGTGTCACAGTC